TACAATGCTGTTGCTCCACTTCTCTAATTGCTGGGCGGTCTACCTGACACTATCCTACCCACACGATGTAGTGCTGTCTTGAGCGACTTCCCCCTCCGTGTGTGCATGTCCCATGATGAGCACAGTGGTACCAGGCCATCCACCTTCCGGGATGGGACTGAGGTTATGGCTTCTTTCAGAGGATGTTGGCAGGGGAGGAAAGCTCTAGAGCTATATCCATGGAGAGAAAAAACTATTCCGGAAAGAAATTTTTTTCATTACCTTGATTTTCTTACATTCATTAATATTTTTATAGTCTATGTAGACTTGCCTGACTTGAAGAATTTCACAAAGTCTAAAAGTCAGTCATAAATGACATTCATTTTAAATTTTGAGATTTGTCCAAATCAACCTTCCAAAGTTTTAATGTACCCAACTCCCACCTGCGGTGTGTGCGGGGCGGGGGGGTCCCTTTCTCCATTCTCTCAGATTCGCAATACCCACCCCCTCTTTTATTTGGCACTCTGAAAGGTGAAAAAGTTATGTTTTTAAAAATTAATCTCTTTAAATTTAATTACAATTTAATCATTAGTGCTTTTGTATACTTAGACACCATTTGCATTTCTTTTTTCTGTTTTATCCATTCATACCTTTTCCCCATTTTTTTCCTTTTGGGTTATTTGTTTTGATTTGTAGAAGTTCTTTATGTTTTATCGATATTAAGCATTTGTCTGTCAAATATTCTAGAATCTCTCATTTGTTTTTACTTTAGTATGACTCATAGTGTAAAAAAAGTTTAATTTCGGAGTAGTCAATCCATCAAGGTTTTCCTTTACAGTTTCTAGGAGTCCTGAAATGCCTTCCTATTCCAAGGTTATAAAAATGTTTTAACATCCTCTGTTTTATACTTTCAGTTTTACGTTTAGATCATCAGAGTATTTGGAATTTATAATTTATATTTACATGTCACATAAAGTCTGAATTTAACTCTATTTTCTTTCAAATGAATAGTCGATTGTCTCAAAATTCTTTCCTCAATGACTTGAAATGACATCTTCCTTCTTTATTAAATTCTCACACTTCCCGGCATCTGCTACTGGACTTTCAGGTTCTCTCCACTGATTTAATCAGGGATCAGAGAAGGCTTTCTCAGGGAATAAGGTGAGGTGCAAAGGTGGCGTCTTGATTGGGCTAATAATGTGGGAGGTAGGGGGCTTGGAGTGGTCAGGGAGGAGAGCTTTCCAGGAGGTCCTGAGGCACCTTGAGGTATGAAACAGGCAGGTCCGTCAGGGGGCAAGTCCTGTGAAATGAGAGGCTCCTGTTCTCCCACCGGGATAAATAGGTTAAGCTCTTGAACATTCTGACCCCGCCTTCCTCTGAAGCCCTGTCTCTGCCCTAGCCCTTCTTGATTTTAAAAATGGTTTGATGGCTGCAGCAGCATTCAGTGGGTTCCCTCCTTTGCTCATATGCTCCCCCTAACACATCATCCCCCTCTGACCTTAAAAGTCCTTTCTTTTTACTTCAATTCCTCTTCCTGCCTGCACCACCCCGTCCCGCCCTGGAGAGTACCTTGCACACCTTTCTAGGAAGCCCGTCCCCCACTGCCCTGCGCCAGTGCGTTTGCCACATGACCCCTAGTTGTTTGTTGGAGTCTGAGTCCTTCTTTGGGCTGGATGGTTTTCGTAGTCAGGGATCATCTCTGTATTTGCACGGTCTAGTGTGGAACCTGGCATATAGACAATTTATTCAATAATATTTGTTGACTGAATGCATGAACAAGATTAAAAAAAGATCACTGCCCTTCTAAAAATGTCAGCTTTGTTGTGCAGCGTAGCACACACTGCAGTACAGCTAAGCAATAACATCTGTTAGCTTTTCTCTTTGCAAAAGAGAGACTCTCATCACAACACTTCTATTCACGCATGGGAGATTTTCACGTGTGATTCTTGTGCCTGGAGTATCTTGAGGAAGACTGTGACAGATTCCTGGGCAAACTCTAGTCTCTAGTAGGGATGCAGCAGCAGCCCTCCTCCTGCTGCGTGTGTCAGTGTTTTAGCCTGAAGCTTTCAGGTGTGTGTCACCTTATAGGACCAGAGTAAGAAGAGAGGGAGTGGGGGGGAGGGCACTCCGAAGGGGGAGCCATAATCTGAGCAAGGCACAGGACCCAAGTGAACTGCCATCGAGAGCGTTAGGGAAATGTTTAACACATGACCCTTTGTGTCATATTCAAAACGGAATGGTTAAACACCTGCCTCTCTCATTTCACCAAAAACATTGCATGTAGAACTAACTTGGCATTACCTGCTGACATTTTAGGTTTTTATTTGTGCTGAAGTGATGTAGCTTAAGGAAAACACATCATTTTGACATTCCTACTCAATTACAGCATAAAATATATGGGAATAGCGCTGTGTGTACCCACTTCATGTGCGCAGCACTGAAGGTTTCCTGTGACAGTCACTGTGGGAGTTTTTATTTAACTCTCTGACTGCTGAAGCCAGGACCCTTCTGGAATGAGTCTCTGGGTCGGGTATTTATAGACTAAGGTGAATGATGACATACAGCACAGAAAATGTTCTGAAGATGATTCCAGGTGGCCAGGTACCATGTGGAGATTCTTTATGATCCTGGCCCAAAGCTGATGTGGGAGGACCCCCGGAATGGAATTTGTGCCATCTTCATTGTTTTCAGGCTGCATATGCTAGTAGAATATGCAGACATTTTTATCCCTTATCAAAGGTCAAGCTGAGGCTGAGAGGAAATATTTAGTTTCTGAGAAGGAATGAATGTATCAACCTTTGTAAAAGAAGCAAACAATATAGGTGTACATCTCCCTGAGGTCAGAATCTTTGTTCTCCCGACATTATAGTCCTTGGATGTGTGTGTGCGTGTGTGTGTGTGTGTGTGTGTGCGCGCGCGCGCGCACGGATGCAAAGACTTGCTTTGAGATATGATAATAGAATGTTTAATCCAGGTCACATAATCATTTTCCCATATAATACCTGCAAGGGAGCCTTAGTATCATTAATATTACTTTAATCCATAAAATAAATATGATATTTGTTTCAAGAGGAATCTAGCAAAGGACTGAAAACAAGAGATGTCTTGGTGTCCTTGTCTTAGAGTGGAAACAGGAAATTCCTGGCAGAGAGAGATGTGATCTCAATTATTTAACTAGGGTATTGATGCTTAGACTATAGGTGACAACCTAAGTGTTTTACATGATAACATTCATTTTTGTTGTAGTTTATAGCTAAGCAAATATAGTCACTTTACAGATATACAGTTGGGCTTCAGACTTCAAGGACAAACTAAATAATGATTGGATAAAGTATATAAAAGATGTTAGTCTAAAGACCTGCTGTCCTGGTCTGAGAAGTAAAATATGCTCCTAAGTAAGATTTATCTGCTGAACATCTTACAGTTTTCTCCTAAACAAGCCACGAGTGTCACCTAATAAGGTTGTGTTTGATTCCAAACTATGCCTCTTTTCACAATGAGACAAGAAACTAATGAAATGTCTAAGCTTTAATCTGAATTGAATTGCTTGGGTCCAGGATAGATAAAAACATGTCAATGGGCAATTACAAATATGCCTAAAATAACTGTACAATTCGAATTCAGAAATATTTTTAGTCAGTAGAGGAAAGCATTGGTATGTTGTAACTAATATGTATTTTTTCTGTAACAATTAGAATACAATTTATCACTAAAATAATTACATAGTTTTGAGGAGAAGACTGAATGACCATCAGATGCCTGCCTTCTTAGTTTACTGTTCTTTGTTGCTTTTGTTCTTCTACACCCAGGTTCAGACTACTCTATCCTTGTATTTATAGATAATTCTTCCGTAAGAGGAATAGCAGTGGGGAGGTTAGGAGATGAATAAATTGATCCTAATCATTCCCGTATAAATAACCTCACCTTCTCACCCTCTTCCACCTTATTTCCTATTATATTTTCCAACAAAGGAAGGAAAGTAAACATGAGAAACTTCTACGAGTACAGTCTATAATTCTCTAGAAACCCAAAACCTTCCATATCTATAATAAGCTTTCAATAGTCTGTAATTCTCTGGAAACCCAATTCCTTCCATATCTATAATAAGCTTTCAATCAACTAGAGATTTTTCCCTGTGCCTGCTATAGTCTACTTTTATGAAACATGCAGATTTTAAGAAAATAAATTGATAATTTTCCTTGCTTCTGATTATTATACATTTGGATAAATCTACATCTGGAGCATCAAAATTCAGGTTCAGGAAATGAAAGGTATATAAGGCTTGCCTCTGCCCCACGGGAATGAGAAAATTCCACAGACTAGGTTCTAGGTTTGCTAATTCATGCACATTCACAGAGACTGAAAATTCACTAGATTTTACAAACCAGTGTTTTCTACTCTTGGAGAAAATACACTGGCTGAATTGTTTTGAAAGAGGAAGGAAGGAAAGAAGGAAGGAAGGAAGGAAGGAAGGAAGGAAGGAAGGAAGGAAGGAAGGAA